AAATAAATCTCTCCCTCTCAGCTTCCTCCAGCTTTAAAACATTTTGAATGTGCTCTCCAGCTGTATTCATAGTTGCACACAAAGTCACAGGTTCTCTAAACATCTCTTTTCCCTCTTTATTTTGTTGCATTTGTTAGAATTGGTCATCAAGTTTTTCACAACAACCTTTTCTTTGAAAACTTCGAAAACTGCCTGATGAACTCAGACTTAAATTTCAGGAGCAAGTGCTTCATTAGCTGTCAGGAATGTTGGAGTCCTCACTAGGAACCTCAGTGAATGAAGAGGCTAAAGAGGTGTGCAGAACGAGATACTCTTGTTACACTAGTAAAGCACCAAAGCACACAGAAAAGCTTCCTCATGCGCTTCCTGTGCCTATACAACACACTGTGATTTTAATCTCTCAATCCAGCGTCTTCTGTAAGTGGTAAAATGTCTTCATACAAAAATAAAAAGCAAAGTTAAAATTTCACTCCAAAGTTATGAGTTATTAAGTTTAAGAATATTAGGGAATACGTGCTCAGTCATCTCCCACACTGAGAAGAAAGCTCCTTTGGCGTTAGATTAGAAATCACTGCAATTCTCAGTTACAGCTGTACATAGAGAGCAGGGGGATTAACAAATGAATGGCATGTGAACCCACAAGCTATTTTTTCCTTTGTAGACAGAATTTAGGCTTCTGTCTGAAAGACAACCTACCTTTCATGATATATTATTACCCTGGGGATGCTGAAGCATAGGACAACAAAGGTGATCCCAGGACACCAGATACAGAGCTGAAAGAAGGACTTACTCTGCCTGTGTCATCAGAACACAGGAGACAGTGGGGGTGACCTAACACAACTGATCAAATTAGTATGGGGACTCACTCTCAGTTTTGGTTACACAGTAGTTTAAAAACTAGAATAGATTTATAGCTTAAAGCTATTCTTCCACTGTCACCATTAAAAATGTTGATTTAGAAGAACAGCTAAGGTTATAAGCAGACCCAATGACTTTAACAGGACTGCTCAAAGCGCATATGTACTCTCCTAGGTAGTAGCTGTGTAACTCTGGCCTCTCAGAAGGCTCCCACAAGGGAGGCCTTTAGAAAGGCCTTTCTAAACTCTACACCTTATTTTCCTCACTCGTTGCAGGTTTAGGTCAGCCACAGTTCAAGGCAGATGATCATAAAAATCTCTCACCAGTTGTGAGAATCAGCTCAGGAAACAAAATGTAATTCCAGTGCTAAGGTCTTTTAATGCATTTTAAGAATTGCTGATAACGTTACCTCCTGCTGTTACTGTATCAGAATCCTTTTTCAAACAGACTGTGAACTACTTGAACAACCTACAAACTCCATGTCTCCCACAGAGGTCTCCAGCATTATTAAAATTGGCTTAGTTCTTTCTAGGAAGTAAAACTTAGTAAGGCTAATTACCGATTTAATCACAGAACAGCTAGATAAATCCTGGACGTACACATCCACCTTCACATTAAGTCCTGCCTCCTCTTTCCAGTATAGAGAAGACACCCATCAGGGAAGCACAGAGACGCCTGCTCTCAGTTCATTGACAAGGGACCTAAACTTTCACTTATTCATTGATTTCATTCATTCTTTAACTCTACTGAAGTCAATGGCGTTACACGAGTGACCAAATGCACGATCCGGCTTCCGCAAATCACTGTGTTGTCTCTAAGGCAAGTCTAAAGGCATAGAGGAGATAGGCAACTATTTTGAAACCAAAAAGACTGAAAGTGGGTATGCCTAATTCATGCATACGTTCATCTCGCGTACACAGGGCATTATAGAATCTCTTTATGGCCCTGGAAATCTTTGCAGAGTGAGAGGAGATCTTTCAGAATCCCAGCACCTGAAGATGGAGGCTTCTAGTTTGAGATATCGAGTCTACGTAGGCAGTTATTCTGCAGCCAGAAAGAACCTTTAAAGATACCAAATATAAGCCAGAATAAAAATTAATTATAATATTGTTATTTTTCAGTGGGGGCTAGGGAGTGGAAGTGCCACTCTACAGTTTGGGATTAACCAGACTTCCATGGAAATTTTTTGTCTGAAAGTTAGATCTTTGAAAATGATTTGGTTTGTCCAAACATTCCAATTCATGGAAAATAATTTTTTAAAATGAAAACAGACATTTTTATAATTATATGGCAAGCTTAAAGCAAAACTTTGCTGATACACAGCACCTGCCGGTCTGACTTGGAATGATCATTTTGTGTAAATCAGCAACTACTATCTGCTGGTATCATCTATCACAAATTAAACAAGCGCAAATCATGCTATAATCTATAGTGCAAAGCAAAGTCTTTGTGTCTTAATGCACAGTTATTTTGTGCAACGATCCTCATTTAATAAAAATACTGTTATCTAACACTTTCCCCCTCAAGCTTCATTATAAGCTTCAAATGTGATGTTATCTTTCATATTCCATATCAAAATAACGTTCAAACTTCATTTTCCAATTTATATTTCTAAGAGAGCTTCTCATTTCAGCAGCTATCTTGCTCCAGATCTCACAGCTCCCCTTGCCCACCAATCTCTGATTTAGGGTCCCCTCACGCGCGTTTCGAAATATCCAACTCTCCCATGTCTATCAATACTCCTTTATCAATTACAGACTTTGTGTCTTCAAAGAAACCTCGAAGGTCACTTCAGCATAGCCTCCTCCCTACCTAAGTCCATGAAAACTACCTTTAAACAAGCTTTCCATTTTTTTAACACATACCTTCAGGTGATTTCTAAGGTCCTGTACCACCCTTCAGCAGATACCCAGACAAGAAGGGAAACTGAAGCGACAGTAGCTGCAAGATATCCCTTTTATCCCCACAGCCACCTTAGATCTGAACACCAAAATTCCTAAAGAGAAATCACTGATGTGGAGCAAGGTAGCGTGGAAGACAGGAGCTAACGAGGTGGGAAAGGACCTCTGCAGTTGTGTTTGTGACCAGAAGGACCCACTGACCTCAGATTCACAGGCTCTTAAACCTCTCTCCTGAGTCACCTACCTTCCTCAGCCTCCGCAACTCTCAGAATCCACCCTATAGTGCCTTCCTATTGATCCCCAGTTCTGTTATTATCAGAAGTAGTGACTTACTGGGACTACAGAATAAATATCACTTGCATTATTTCTGCCAATGGGTCATCATCCTCTTTCCCTTGCTTAATGCCAGGCTTGGGTTCACAGACCTCCCCCTTCTCCCCTTGTGCCATCTGCCTGGCAGTTCTCAAGGATTTTAGAGAAAGTTTCTGTACTTGTGATTCTCAGATTTCTCCCTCGATCATCAACCTTTTGCTCTCTGTTCAATCCCACTGCTCAAGTGGCTGGCTGGCAACTCTGCCTAGAGATCTTGCCATCAGTTCACGCTAGCTGAAGTGCAGGGTTGCCCTGGTTTGGCCTCACTTTCCCTTTTCTCTTCCACTGCTGACAGCAGTAACGCGTTCCCCGTGTCCATTATCTCCCGTCCTTTTTCTGAAGGTCACACGCAAACGGCACCCAGCTCCCGGGCCTTCCCTCCAGCCCAACGGCATCGGACTGATCCGTAACCATTTTCACAGACCAACCTGCTCTTCAGGTCTCTTCTGTAGGTCCTACCGTAAGTACTGTGACGCTCTCTTCTCCGCACCCCAAACACACACCGCGCTCCTCGTGACCCACGGAAGCAGCGCGTGGCCAGACACCTCCCCTCACAAACTCGGCCGCGCCACTCGCCCCTCGGCAGCCCTCATCTGCTGCGCCAGCAGCCCCAAACCCTGTCCTCCCTCCCGGCCCAGCCGAACCGCGTTCCCCACGCCCGCCTCT